CCTTTGGACACTTTGTATCTTGCCACATGCATCCGCAAAGAAGGCCGAGGGCGCCCCCCAACGCCACCTAGTTGCGTCCAGCCAACACGCTGCTCTCCGGCACGGCGCGCTGCCAGGGGGATGCCCGCTCGGCACGGCACAGCAGGAAAGACGCCCACTAGTTGTCCGCTCTACTCTCGCTGCTTTGCACTGCGCCATCTGTAGCCACGCACGTCCGCACTAATCAAATCGAGCACTCCTGTAGAGCCCTGTTGTGGCACACTTGAGCCAGGTGTTGGCTGACGATCGTGTCCGGGTCACTAGCCCCATGTTCCACACACACACATACCCGTCCCGGCGTGTTGTAGGCAAGATGCGTGTGTGCCTGCCAGGCGCAGCGACTATCCAATGATCTATATTGCGATCGGAAGAATGTATCTGCTATAGGGAGGTGAAGAGCAAAAGGCCGAGATGCAGCGAACAGAGCGGCATCTATAGCCATGGTCTTGTCTTGGTCGTTGCTTGTGTCACGAGTGGGTCGGCGCGCTGAGAGGCCGCGGAACTAGTGCGGCGGGTCTGGAGCATTCTCGGCGCGTCTTCAGTGTCATCAAAGGATCCAGGAGATGTGCGGGGGTCGCTGTAGCAGAAACATTGTGGAGTTGTTGCGTCAGGTATGCGCACAGCGCCCTTGTGATCAGGGATCATGGTGACAGCACCCATGGTCCAAGCCGTGATTCAGTGTGGGTATATGGCGGTCAAGGGCACCGTATTACCACATCTCAGATGTGGTGTCAGCAGGCCCGTGCTATTCGCATATAGGCATTACAGGCAAATAGCCAGCTAAATCGCCGTCTTGTGCGATGTTATAGTCCATTGGGACAATGGCAAACGCAGTTAGCGCCGCAGGGTTGTACATGAGAAACTGGTTCCCCTCGAGCGAACAGGCTTTTAGCACGTTTGACCTGAAAATGGCTGGATCGCTATTATAGTCCAGCTCCACTTCTCCTCGTCCTATAGAGTTGCCATTCGCATCATAAACGGGCAATATAATCTCCACCATTCTTTATGTGCTGACGGGTGCTTGTAGCGGTTGCGCAGGCAGCAGGGAGGGCGGTAATCGGTGGAGATGCAGGAGCGGTTGACGGGTGTGCTACTTCCGAGGAGAATGGAGGAAATGCCAAGGGATTATAAACCCGCGGGCGGCGCAGTGTCGACAGCGGCCAAGGGAGAGCGGATGCTTCCAGTCAGCATGCAACGCTGCCAGCATCGCGCTAGTTGGATGACTGCTGGGCAGTCAGGCAGCGACGGCCAGCCACACACATTGGTAGGCTCAAGTGGTGCGCATGGTGGCCACATTGCCGATGTCTTGCACATTGCTGTGGCAATCGCTTTGAGAAGTCAGACAAAAGGTGACAGCCGCTCCAACTGGATGACTGGCAACATGTGCGGCCAAGCGTCCATCCCCCAAAGCGAGGCGGGCAATCGGCAAAGTCCAACGACTGGTGGGGGGTGGAAAGCGGCCGGCGGTGCTGTGGAAGTCATGCCAGAAGGTGTCCGCTGGAGACACCCGCATGGAAAGGCCGCTGCGGCTCCTTTGGACACTTTGTATCTTGCCACATGCATCCGCAAAGAGGGCCGAGGGCGCCTCCCCAACGCCGCCTGGTTGCGTCCAGTCAACACGCCGCCCTTCGGCACAGCGTGCTGTCTGGGGGATGCCCGCTCGGCGCAGCACAGCAAGAAGGACGCCCACTAGTTGTCCGTTCTACCCTCGCTACTTTGCACTGCGACATCTGTAGCCATGCACGTCCGCACTATGAAAATGGAGCCCTCTTGCAAATCCCTCTAATGGAACACTTGGCCAGGTGTTGGCTGATAATCGTATCCGGGTCGCAAGCCATAGCGGCGCGAACAGTGGTATTATTGTGCCGCCCTCGGTCGTTCGAGCAAAGGCAGCCCCGCATTATGAGCTTGTAGCTAAAGCCAACTTTGAAACATGGGTGCTTTGTCGCCATGTGCGTCAGTGTGGCCGAGTGGTTAAGGCGACAGACTTGAAATCTGTTGGGCACTGCCCGCGCAGGTTCAAACCCTGCCGCTGACGATTCTATTTTTGCCGGCCAACGCGGCCCTTGGTTGGCGCGCCGCGTCGGTTTGCCTCCTTTTGCCCTGCGATGCTGCGCTACGGGCCACTGGCGGTCGGTCGGCGGCCAGCTAACGACATCGATTACGTGTTTGCTATACGGTTAAAGGCGAGGAGAGCTAGGTGTCGGTACCAGAGTCGCTATCCGAGTCATCATCGTCGAGCGGGCTAATCCGTGGGGCCAACTGACCGGCATCCTCCAGGGCCATTCGTTTGGTAATTCCCGGCAGCGCAACAAAGCACACCCTATTTTCACGCAGGAGCAAATCGACAAACTCATCCATATGTATAATCTCAATAGCACCCAATATGTTTTTCATCCGAATCTTGCGATAATCAGCATAGAGTGGTTCCAGCGCTTGATATATATCAGCAGAAGGTTCCGTCAATCGAAAGTACAATAGTGCCAATGCACGAAGGTATTTGAAGTCAGTTTGCTCTACCAGTGCATCCACCATTTGTCGATCGGGTTGCAGCTGTAGTAGTTTGAGTACTAGACATAGAAACTCTGTTGGTCTTCGATTGGATCCATAGCAGCCGCCGATGCATTTTAGATCTACGGCCTTTTCCATTACGCCGGTAACTGTGAGTCCAAAGCAGTGTTCTTTCCAGTATTGAGAATCGTAGATCCGCTGCCGAAACGTTGTCTCTATCAGGTACTGCGGATTCGTGCCATGGACCGACTGCGCTGTGGCAGCTGTTCTGTTTGCCATTGTTCGCAGAGACGGGTGTAACAAAGCGAGGCAGGGGGGGGGGAGCGTGCAACTGACCAGAGCGATTCTACCAACTGAAACGACGACGCTGAACAAACATTGCACAAAGAAGCTGCTGCTGTCGCCGCCAGCCAGGGCTACATTTATGGGGAGGGAAGGGGCTACTTGGCTGGGTTGCCGGCAGCAGTGGTCCTGCTCCCGGTGCTGGGCTTGCCGCTGGAGGAGAGGATGATTCCGGGGGCGCCCCGCTTGCGGTACGCGTTCTCCATCGCCTCGCTGTGGCGGTGCGTGGTCTCACTGGCCGCGAGCTCCATCTGGCGGCGCTCAGCCTCGCGCTTCTTCATCAGCTTGTCAATCTTGTTCTTTCCGCTATAGTGACCGTGGAAGGCATGCGATAGTTGCTTGTATGCCTCCTTTGTCGTCAGTTGGCGACCCGTCTCATCCGTGTACTCCAAGCGAACCTCGGGCTTGTAATCACGCATACGCTCCTCATACTCGCGGGCCCATTTCCGATCCAATGCTTCTTGCTCCTGCGCCTTTAGCTCCTCTAGCTCCTGTTGAGTAATTTCGTCTGGCTTACCACGCCGCTTGCCATCTGATTTCTCTTGCGCGGGTTCGGCGGTGGGGTTCTTTTTGCCAAGTTGGCGGATACGCTGGAGCTCGCGCTGCAGTGCCATGTCCTCTCGCCGGTGCTCGGCAATCCATTGTGCGCGGCTGCGTTGCTGCTCCTCGCGCTGACGTTGCTCGTCGCTCAGTTTGTCCAGCATGTTGCGCTGTTGCAACAGCCGCAGTGTCGCAGCGAGGCCCGTTCCCATCGACGACTCGTGCATCTCGAACCCAGATGCATCGCCGGTCTCTGACGGGGGCTCCAGCTCTGCAGATGGTGCGGGCTTGGTCGCACGAGCTGGACGCGATGCCGATGACACCAGGCCCTTACGTGTAGCTGTCGTTGCGGCCCCCGCCAACGGCTCACGGGCGTTTCTGACTATCTGGACCTCGTTCTCCTCCTCCTCCTCTTCCTCCGGCGCCTCTGATGCCGCCACCGTCGCTTCTGCTGCCGCCACCGTCGCTAATGTTGCCGCTGCTGCTGCTGTTGCCGCTGCCATCTCCTTCTCGTGCTCCCTGCTTGTCTCCACAGTGTTGTGCGGCAGCGACCGGGCTGAAGCAGCTGACGTCTTGAGGGCCTGAACAAACTCGATCGTGCTAGACAGTACCAGATCCGAGTCGTGTTGCGGGTCCTCAGGCGGGACAGACTCGCTGTGCTTTTCCTGCCGAGCGGCCTCAACGGGGGCCACAATGCGCGGCGCAGCTCTGGCCATCTCGGCGCGACGCACACTGGCAATAGCACGTTGCAAATCGTCGTCGTCGTCTTCAAACCCAGCAGCGTCAATCCGTGTGGCACGGGTGAGTATAGAGTTGACGCGCTCCGTGTCGACCATATCGGTCAAGAGATCATTGGTTGTAGATGTCTTTCCACGCTTGTTCGCCTTGCGCGATGTCTTTTTCTTCTTGCGAAACAGCGCCGTGGCTTCCTCCTCCGTATAGTAGTCGCTGATTGCCTGGGGTTTAGCCTGCTCCAGCGTCTGGGCGGATCCGCGATGCTCCGTCTCGGGTTCATCCTCGTCAGCTTCCTGAGCCACTCTGCCGCCTTTTCCGATCGTGAATACGCTGCTGTCGCCCTGCTCCTCGTCCTCCTCCAGGACATCGTGGGCAGTCTCGAGGCTGCCAGGGGTGGCATGCTTGCGCTTTCTGCGCTCGGCATTCTTGCGTGCCCGCTCGGCTTCCCGGGCCG